GCCTTGTATGCATTTCCTCATGGTATAACCAAAAAGAAATATAGGGTATTTTTGGCACATCGATTTAACGTTGTTTTAAAATGTGAAATCTCGTTTGTCCAGATCCCATTTTCTAGGACGTATATACACAGTTAAAGGGGCATTACTACATTCCTTTTTTTCGTTAATTCTGAAATTCGTTAATCCGGACAAAATTTCAGTACCGTTCGGATAAACGGGGTTTCTCTGCTTATAAACCTACATATATATTAACAGAGACAGACAGACAAATTCAATGTATTTTAACGCTAGGGTTAGGGTAGGGTTAGAGTGCTGTTGGTCTCTTAAAGGAGCCCTCAGGGCCTTTAGAAAACACTCCATGCAGATTAAACTGGTGTCTCAGCACTGTATAATGGTTCGGCTGCGCCAACGAAACGCTTGACGAGCACGGGTACTCCAGTCGTCTAAGTAGTCTAATTCATGTGCTGAGTTGACTCGGACGATTCGCCTTTATTTTGATCCTTGGTTTGCCATACACGAGCTCCTGCGTATCACGATATCAAATCAGGCTTTCCTCCTACACTAAGCTGTCTTGCCATGCTATAACTGTTCAAAGCAGCGAAAAACAGTCAGACCAACTGATAAATGTAGTACTCCTTTAACTGAATATACGGAACACCAAAAGTGTCTTTGGTAATGTTCTCGTTATCTTACTGTGATTGTAAAATAAAGCATAGAGCTCAAAATGACACATTTTGTCTCCTCATTTGAAGGGTACTTTTGTTTTCCTGACCTGATGGGCCAATAGTATTTCTACATATATCTACATTTTTAAAATGAATTTGAAACAAATTCCAAAATATACCAATTTGGTAAAAATGGTGTAGGGATTTGGTCCGCTTTGTTCTAAAATACTTTGAACTCTTCACAGTGATTGTGATAATGAAATACCTGGTTAGTGAAATTTCCCAAATGTTTGAAAGGGAAAGATTATTTGAAGTGTGAATATATGAGTTGTAATTATCTTTTCACTATAATAGGCTTTTATTGAACATCAAGATACTCCAGTCTGTCGTTACGAGTAACCCTTTTTGCACATGTCGAGTAATCAACAAAAGGAAAAGCAACAAAGTTCATATAATCATCATTGTTTGTTTCAGTTATCAGTTAATTTGATCAGTTATCTTTGTCCTTTATTGTTGGCGTTAAACTCGCTCACTCACTCACCTTTGAGTTTTGTTTGTTTGTTGTTTAAAGCAACACTCAGCAATATTCCACCTATTTGACGGCGGTCTGTAAATAATCGAGTCTGGACCAGACAATCCAGTGGTTGACATCAAGAGCATCGATCTACGCAGTTGGGATAATATGACATGCATCAACCAAGTCAGCGAGCCTGACCATCCAGTCCCGTTAGTCGCCTCTTACGACAGGCACAGTCGCTTTTACGGCAAGCATGGGCTGCTGAAGACCTATTCTACCCCGGATATTCACGGGTGCACCCTTGAATATAACGGTGACTTTAAAGAATAAAGGCCGATCTGCCACGACACATGACCACACAGAGAGTATCATAAAGTCAAACCAGGAGTACACGTGTATGAAACACCGAGAAAACATGCCAACCTGCATTAACAGTAAACATTTCATGGGAACAATTCCAGATATGATAGGCATTGGAAACCATTTACGTTACTCTTGTCAAACAAACATTTACGGATATCTATCTATCTCGTCAGCATAACTGCTTAAGATGACACGCATGCAAGGGTTTATAGTGATTCCCAAAGAAACGTTAGTGTTCCTATGGTTGCACTTGCTGTGGACTAGGTGATGTAACAGCAAACAAACAGGATGTGCTTACTCTCCTGAGTTTAGTAAACCTATGCAGCAGATTCTGATCAAATTAGTGAAACGTAAAAGTCATTTAAATGATTACTTTTCAGCACTGTTTCCAGTGGGAGGCGTGTTAATTGTATTATCTCTCACCATAAGTGTAAATGGAATAGCAGATGACAGAAAATTAGATTTTTAATTTAGGTGTCTGTTCAACTTGAAGGGCATTGGTTTTCCATGTGAGAAGACTAAGTTTGGTGAACAATTATAAAATGTTTAGTTTTTACAGTTATAAAAACAGTTTTTACAGTTATGTTGCACATTTAATTGCTCAAATTTGGCTGTTAATAGTATGCTTCTAAGGATATATTTAAAGGATGAAATTTCGAAGAAATGTTTATTTGAGTTGATTTGGGAAAAATGTTTGTATCTTTTTGTTAGCTGTGACGAGGTTTTAGGTCAGGAGTAGGTCATTCTGGAAATGAGCAAGGATCAGGTAAAACGGTATAATTATTGTATCATTTATCATGCATTAATTCAGATAACATTTACCATTACTGTATCATATATTACGCAATAGCTTAGATAACACATTAAATGCGTGTTAGTTCAAGTCAAACTGATGAAATTTTTAGCCTTAAATTTTATTTGGCAAGTGTTGGGCCTTTAGGTTTGATTAACATTATTGTACGAGATGAACTTGCGGACAACAACGCTCTGAATCACCACAGCACAGCAGGTCTTACAGTCACGAAAGCAAGGTGGGATTATGCTGGGCTGTGTGGAATACTTTCATTGTGAGAGCTATGGAATTTGACTTGCATCTGTCTATGACAACATATTGGATATATGTTGGGCCTCCGTTGTCAGTTTGATTCATGGCTTCTCAAATTATCGTCGGAATAACCTTCTTACATTACATCAATCAGACATCATCCACCCATTACAGCCATCAGGGACATGAATATATCTGATGGCCTAATTCAAACCATTCAATTCTTGATTTAAGTTGTCGACAAAGAACCTATGAGATGGGTGTAAAACGTCCAAAAACATCATTAGTACCACTGTGGTATAATTCGGAACACTTCTCTCTACTTTTATTTTGTTTATTATGCCTTCGTTTCACACTGTCTTGTCCCAAGAGAAAACACAATATAGCTGGGCGTCATTAGGACATTTTAGGCGAAAATGTCACAAGTGTTTATTCTACAATTGAGATAGAAATGTTGGCTATCTGCGCTGCCTGATTCCGATCACAGTAATGCTTCTTTGATTGTACAAGCTAGCGCCAAGGTTCTATTTGGCATTTCCATTGTGCTTATGTTCTCTCCAGAGCCCAAGCCAGGGAGGGAGATCGGTCATGGCGTACATAAAAGTCTTTGTATTCGCACCCAGTCCCTTCCCCTAATGTTTACTCCCTACCACTGTGGTATTGGAACAGTGGACTCATACAACTCGCACAGAGCTGATATGTTCTGGAGGAAACTACCCTTGGACACGCCGGGCGCAGTTTGATTATAATTCAGGAAGGTGGTCTTCGTAGTTAATTTTTGTACTTTACATGTATGTGGATTATCATGGGTGTTGAAGATTCATTGCTGATATCTAGACACCAAGAACTCGACCAAGGGTCTTGGCAAATGGTACAGGTGGAACATAGGCAGGTCTTCAGAAAAGATCAAACGTTTCACTTCACTCATATTAGCTGTGTGTTGCATGTAGTCAATGCAATTATTGTTTTGTTAATGTTAACCACACGAATATTTGTAACCATACATTTCCCGCAGTGCCCAATCATCTGTAAATAAAGTTCTGGATATTCTAACCTAAAACAACGATGAGAGTTTTGTCTTCCCAAATTATGACAAAACGTGGTTCCGATTTCCCAGGTAACTCAACTTCTACATTCACGAAAAGTCCAGTCAGAGTTGTCTCCCCTTTCGGAAGACTCGTGTCGCCCCAGAGGCGCTGCTACAAACGGGAGGTGAACTTGAAGACCCGAGAACTTTGAAACAAATGTCCCATGTGGCTTTGGGCCTCTGTTTGTCATTTCCGGAGGTCGCACTTAAACTCGCACCACCAACAATGAGTAAGAAATATCGCTAAATTGGCGTAAGGATTTTATACCTACGCGTAAGAAAGAGTGCACCCGTTCCCCTGTCGGACTTAGTGACATTTTTATTGTAAGGAGTCACACGAGGTTAAAATATGTTGGTTTTTTTGTTAAAGGCTTACAGTGCTCATGAAGAGCCTCAAACGAGTTGGGTGTGAGAAAGAATTAAATTAAAGGAGTTTGGGAGCTCATTATTCTTTCCATGGCTATACAAGTTTGGGTAGTAGCTAACCATACAAAAGATCCAAAGAAACTGAAGCAATAATAAACCTCGTAACACATGCTTTCTTTCTGTTCAAAGCCAAATATACAACGTCAACGCCAGAGAATTATCAGTCGATTGTCCACCGAAACAGATTCCATTGGGCGTAAGAGGCTAACTAGTGGTGAAACTTATATAATTGGATCGTTGAAAATCAGTGATGACACAGACACTCGCAAAAATGTTAAGCATGTCCTGCCCTATCCTTTAGACAGATGCTTGTGTATGTGCATATCCCTTACACGCCAGTTTCTAACCTATCACACAATGACTCGTGGAATAATTATGGAACCAGTCTTAAGTTCTAGTTACCAAATGAACATATCATTCATTTTCTACTTTGAAAACAAAAAGAAAGAATAATATCTCCTACCAAAAAAACCCATCGGTATACATAATTTACTCTCCACTTTGAAAATAAGAAGATGGAATATGATATAGTTCTTAAACACATAATGATTTCCAAAAACCAAAACGGAACTCTTTATATGTCATATAGCATGCTGTAATGTTCATAACACAAGGAGCTAAAGGGAATCATTACTGTCACATTTTCAGTTTGACTTAGCACAAAATACACATGGAATTCTATTATGCCATCACAGACTCGTTAAGCCTCCATACAGACACAATGCAGACCGACAACGACATTGCTATGTATAAATGTATGACAGCAATTTTTACGATTATAGATACACCCAGGCCCCAGAATAGTAAAAACACTGCATCTACAGCGGGTACAATATCGTTGACTGAACGTGCAAGGCATGTAATTATCTATAGGTATGAACAATAGAATTTACTTACACTTCTGTTACACTGCAGCAGCCCAGCCTCCCCGACTGATATGGGTCTGACTGTGGCGGGGAAAGTTTATGTACAATTTTCACATAACGTTGCTATCTAACAAACGAAAAATAATCATAGAAATAAAGAGGTATGGAGGACAAGGAACATTTTCCAGATGGCCGACTAAAGTAAAGATATTTACCAGTCAATTTATATCACATGTGCATAAATGCATTTCCCCAAATCAGCGAAAATTTGCCATGTGAAGCCAGCATAATGACACTACCAGATCCAATCTGAATGGTAAAAAGTCTATGATTGCAAATCTAACATGAAGAAAGAGTATTGGCTCTTTGTTCCGGTTGTACTATAGGGTAAACAGGATCCCAATGTTGAAGAAGGAGTTGGGATTTGGAAATGGTGGTTGTGTCTGCGTTGTCTTCTTGCCTTGGTGGAACCGTAGTTGTGGTAATGAGTGAAGCCATACTTCTATTTGTGAGTGTATCTGCATGTGATACCAGCCTCAACATACCTCGCTCTCCTTGTATGCGATACAGATGTGTTGAGCAGAAAATGTCAGGTTACGGCTGACTTTATGAATCTTCAACTATCTTGAAGAAACTGTTGTCTGACAAAGATGTGTGATGTCCCTATAGGCGCTGAGATTCGAGGTTCATTCAAAGAACATTACGTGAATTACAGAGTTCTCGTAACTTCGTGTTGACATCGCGAAAGGGAGAGAGTCTACATTTAAAGGCGGTGTATATTCACGACTGAATAATACCAGAAAAAAATGTTGTGTGGTGGAAAATAACTCTATTCCCAGTATATTCAGTTCCGTATTTTGCGCAATACTCTTCAGATGGATTTACCAAGAGAACATGTTATACAGACAACAGCAACAGTGAAGAAACAATTCATTATGCATCATATTAAAATGGTGTAACAGAGACAAAGGGAATATGTTACGAAATGAAATATATAACGAAACATCACAAAGCAGATAGGTTGTATTTCCTCAACCTGTATACAACATCAGCCAACCATATATATTCCACATATTTTTTTTGGTTAGTTTTTATTTCCTATATCATAATTATTGTCATGCTTTAAATAACCGTAGGAAAAAATGGGATATATACATTGTTTTTATCAAGCACACAGACAACCTATATTTTGCTTAGATGTGAGCAACTGTATGGTAATTTGAAATTTGTGTCGGCCTTTTGAACATTTTTGATGAATTTTTGCAAAAAGAGTAAAGGAAAGAACAACTTTAAAAAAAGGCACTGTCAGACAAATTCTGATCACGTTGTTCCACCACTGGCCAAAACAAAAACATACATGTCAAGTATAACCTTTGTGGACAAAATTTCGAGAGTGGTAAAACTACTATGATAAGATTACATATATTTTCATTGCCAGTAAAGTAATACCTTCCAAAGGAACATGACAAACACAGGACACACTTTCCCATTTGACTCTGCCCATTGTAATGACACAGGAATAGCACTTTACTGTTGAACGAATGGTTCTTTTTTCGCCTCAATTCTCTCTGCTGTATCCCAATATGAAAATATACAAAGGACTGTCAGTTTGCCAGAGTATACTATATACTCGTCTCTGGTCCGGAAGAAAACTACTTTTATCAAATATATTTTAAACAGACTTTGGAGACAATTTGTCTCCGGATATTTGCCCTAGACACGAAGTCACCCATATTTTCTCTTTCAATGTACAACCCCTGATGAAATCTCAATTCCGTCCGGAATCAAACCCTCTTTGATGTAGCTCTGTATAAACCAGGGAAATAACATCTCTCCTTCCACCTCAAGAGGCCTGTAAACACCCGCGGGGGTGATGTCCCTTGTGACCCAAGATGGAGGTCAGAGTTAGCGATGCCCCTAGTTAAATTATCAAACGGGATTTAACCTACTTGTGTGAGTCGTTGAAAGGCCAGCTTTCACTGACGAGTGTAGGTTAAAAGTAGAATTGTAATTGTTTTTGATTGTTTGAAATTTCAAAAGTGTACATGAATATAAGTCATACAACTGTTCGTCATTCATAATTGATTATTGAATTGGTGTCCTCATTATTTCTAGAAGTGCTGCCATATTGTAAACTATTTCAAGTAATGTTTTTTGTCAAAATTTCTTGACGAAAAGTTGCAAGACTTTAATTCTTCTGTTGACTCAATGCCTAATAAGGATTCTTTTGTATATGCCCAACTCTGTCATATATTCAACTAGACTTTTCCTGATATTAAGGAACACTGTCGTTTGATTTTTGATTTTAGTAAAACCACCATATCTTCTCACTGATATCTGATATCAGAACAATGTGTGAAAATAAAAATTAAAAAAAACATGTGAAAATTATGACAAGTTCTTCCGTTCACTTCTGTTGTCGGTATAGATTTGCCCGTAAGATAAATACGTTTTTTTAATATTATTATTCATTTTCAAAAACAATTAATGTACATGTATATATGTGATAAAGAATATCCTGACACAAATAGGCAAATGATAATAACAATACAAACATCTCACAAATCAACGGATTTGTCGTAAAACATTGTTTTGGATATAACAGACCTCAGATTTGTTAGGATTTGTAATTCTAAATTATTCCTTTTATTCCTTTCCAGTGACATATTTACAGCAAAACAATTCAGCAGCATATTGTTTACCTTCTTGGTCATTCTCAACAGATATTTTTTCATAATAGTTTTTGGCTAAAACCATTTCTCCTGTCCACAAAATATATTAATATTAACTAAATAAACCGATTGTAATAATTTCTCTAAAATGTAAGTTATTTCTGTGTGTGAAATGGTCGACGTGAATAAAGCGCCTTGGGGATCAGTGGTCTTCGCTCAATAAACGCCTTAATTTCTTCCCACAAACTCTTTGTTTTCGGTATTAACCTATCATAATATTTTCTGAATAATATCGTCCAAGAATGTATTCAGTATCATGGCCACACAGAAGGAGATCATAGCCATTTCTTGGATGCTTTCGAATCAAACTGTTTGTTTCCAAATCACACTGTTTTGAATTCTCAGGTGTTGATTTAGAAAATATAGCTCCCCTCTAAGCACCACTCTCTCCCGACATATTGTTCACAGACAGCGGGCTAGCCAAAGCCACACTGGGCACCCGCCAACGCTTTATAGCGTGGTTAAAGTGTGTGGAAATGGAGGTTGGGGCTTTATAGGATATTGCTGTTAATTCCATAGCACTAGTTTATAAGAATGGTCAAGTCTGAAACTAGGTCTTCACGTGCACAAACAGAATTTTGGTCATCACGATTGGGAACTAAGAGTTACACTATGCAAAGAACGAGATCGAATAAGGACTCTAATTTGCTCCTTGGAAATGTCACACTTTAAAGTGGCGGAATTATCGGTGTAACAATAACAAGACAACATGGCTGACAAATAGCCTTTTTTCGTACAAATGCAAGTTTTGGACAGAATCAAGTACATCAACAAGGAATCAACAATTCCTACTATAGGTTCAAAGATCAAAGTTAAAGAACTTTGGCTCCGGATCTTTCTGCGTGTCTGTTACTTCTTATTGGGACTCACTCCTCTCACGCTGAAATCAGGAACACTACAGTCCTTCAAGTCTGGGCTTAGAACACTTCTCTTCCAGCACTATTCACATTAACAGTGTTGGTCGATAAGCGGGTTCAGAGCGGACCGCGATCGCCAGTCGGTGTGAACATATTGAGCCATATCATGTAATTAAATTCGTTATTACATATGTATGGCTAATATGAATGAAGAAAGCTGATTTTGCAAACTTCCTGAGAACATCAAAATACGAGCAAGTCTCTAGAAGAATGTGTATACATGATTATACTGAAGTGTCTGTATTCTCCTAAGAAATTCAACTTGGGTCACAGACTCATGTTCATATATTAAAACTTGGGTGTGAATATCGGCCACGGCAGCCTATGCTGGTCGACAGCTAACTAAATGGATCGGGTAGTCAGAATCAACGAATTGGTTGATTGCATGTCATCGTACCCTAACAGCATTGAATGATGTTCATGGATTGGTACAGACTCGATTATTCACAGAATGTTGAGAGAATACAGCTGGAATGTTGATGCGTGTGGCGTTAAACAACAATTAATACCTATTCGAATCAAACTATGCAGGACACATGAAAAAATTTATTTCATCTTCAATACAACCAAAAGTACACATTTTATACCTATTTGTCTTCCGAAGTTACCATGAATGGGCAAATCACATATGCTTGATTAAAACAATAAGCGTCTAAATTTCTAATGCCTGTTACATATCAGTTTTTTTCTAGATAATCACTAAATTGGATAACATGCTCTTGATGATTCACACACTTTTACATGAAGCAAACGTTGTTAACAGATGCTTAAAAATGACATTACATCGCCCAAACTGTGTGCATTCCAAACCTCTCCATATCTATAATTATTAAACAAACGGGATCGAGTGATCAACCTCGCTGACTGGATTTATGCATGTTGTCGTCGTATTCCAATTGCGTGGATAGATGCTCATGATGTTAATCATTGGATTGTCTGTTCCAGACTCGATTATTTACAGACCGCCGTCATTTACCTGGAGAATTTTCCGTGAGGCGTAATATAACAAACAAACATAACTAGTTAACAAATGTTTACGATGCGATGATCATGTGCTTCTTCCACTGTCATCTAATTTTCTTAAAGGTATAACATTGTCGGGGGTACATCTACCTATTACCTGTCATGTGCAAAATTTTACCAGTTTTTTAAATATATTGGAAATGTCCAATCCATATCTGCCACATTCAGACAATGCAATATTTATATAATGGACACAGGTTTACCAAAAGCAAATTTACAAACACATTGCATGGAATGATTTCACAGTAACAAACATATTTTAGCCCCATAAAGTTGAATTGGTTGTATTTTAAAACAGTTTAACCAGTATATTAAAAGGCGTATTACCAAACTTAAATTGCATTTTTAACAGCAAACAGTGCCTTATTAGTTTTAACAAGTGAAAATTAAATTTAGTCCCTGGAAGTCTGTATTACAATAGAATACCTAAAAAGTGTG